CTTTTTCAGTTTGTCCCTAGCAATCCAAGACGTATTGCTAGGAAGGAACTGATCCTTCAATTCCTTTTTAAGCTGCTCCCATAACTCAATCTTTGGTTTGCCCAAACTTTCATCTTCAGCCACACGAGTGCGCCAACATAACTTAGCATCTTCACTCAAATACATGCTAGTCAAGGTTACTTTCTCCTTCTCGTCTTGCAAACGAATAGCATGAAAGTACTGCTCCATATTCTAAAGAAAATTCTCCAATTCACGTGCACTCCTTGCACCACCAAATGTACTTGTTTTGGAAATAAATTCTACGTTCTGAGGCCTTAAAACCTCCTTTTTGTCTCACCTCGATTTGCATGCGCAGTCCGGGCGCGTATCCGAAAAGCCATTATGTGAAAATCTGTGAAAAAAAATGACAAAGCTTGCTTTTAAAATGAATTTAAGTTGACTTCGGTCAACATTTTGGGTAAACGGACCCGGACCCGTGATTTGACTGTCCCGGAGGGTCCGTAGGAAAATATGGGACTTGGGCATATACCCGGAATTAAATTCCGAGGTCCCTAGCCCGAGAAATAAATTTTTGAAGAAAATTGTTTTCAGGAAAATAAAAGAGTTTTTGAGAAATGAAAGATGTTGAAATTGATGGTATCGGGCCGTATTTTGGTTCCGGAGTCCAGTACAAGTTCGAAATAATACTTTAGTTGAATCGGTGGAGTTGGTAAGAATCGGAGTCCGTTTAGTATAAATCGGACCTTATTTGAGAAAATTGGAAATTTTGATGTTCTTGAGTGATTTCATGAATTTGAGGCTTAATTCATAGTGGTTGATGTTATTTTAATGATTTGACCGCATGGGCAAATACGTATGATATTTTTGGACTTGCGTGCATGTTTGGTTTGGAGCCCCGAGGGCTCGGGTGAGTTTTGGATAGGCCAAGGAGTGAATTTAGACTTAGAAAAATAACTGTTGCAGGTTCAGAGAAGTTGCAGGTCTCTGAACCAGGCTTCGCGGTCCGTAGTGATTTCTCGCGACCGCGGTGGGGTCTTTGCGACCACGGTGGGATTTGTGCGGTACGCGGTGAGCCAGGCTGTGTCTTCTCGGCCGCGCTCAATATTTCGCGGTCCGTGGTGGAGCTCCGCGGCCTCAATCCTTTTTATGCGGTCCGCAGTGAGGGTCTGAGAGGATTAAATAAACGGGACTTTTCGGTAATTTTTTTTCATTTTCAAAAACCTAAAACATAAGGGGCGATTTTTCAAAGACTCTTTCTTTCCCAAAATACAAGTGATTTTAAAATCATTTCTTTCACTTCTTAACTTCTTTTTACAAGATTTCATCTTAGAATCTAGGGTTTTCATGGTGGAATTGGGAATTTTGGATAAAACCTAAGAATATTGAAATTTGGGAATTTAGACCTCAAAGTGAAGTCGGATTCCAAAACCAATTATATATCCGGGCTCGGGGGTGAATGGGTAATCGGGTTTTGGTCCGAATTTCGGGTTTGGACCAAGCGGGCCCGGAGGTCGATTTTCGACTTTGAGGAAATCAATTGAAAATCCATTTTCATGCATTAGAGTTGATTCATTTAGCATTTATTAATAGTATTAATTAAATTGTGGCTAGATACAAGCGAATTGGTGGTGGAATCAAGAGGTAAAGCGGTAGTTGAGGCTTGAATTGTGTTCGAGGCATCGAGGTAAGTGTTTGGTCTAACCTTAGCTTGAGGGATTAGGAGTCGTGTCCTATTTGCTATGTGTTAGTTGTTGAGTACGACGTATAGGCATGGTGGCGAGTATCTATACGTTGGTGCCAAGCATGCCCGTGAGTCTTATACTATGATTAATGTGACTCCGTTTTGTATTGTTCATGCCTTATGTGCTGATTTCTATTGTTGAACGAGGCTTGTGAAAGTAATATTGGTTATTGAACCTTGAAGAGCGTTGGCTCAAGTTGTAAAATGATTTGTGGAAGTATTATTGGCAATTGAACGTTATAGAGCATTGGCTCAAGTTGTGAATTGAGTGTGAAGTAAATGTGGAAAAGAGAAGAGGTTTATGATATTGTCTCCCTTGCCGGGATGTTGTTGCTTTTAATGTTATCTCCCTTGCCGGGATGTTATTGCTTTTGATATTGTTTCCCTTGCCGGGATATGATTGTTGTACTATTGTACCCTTGCTGAGATTTTATTGTGATTCTATTAATTCCCTTGCCCTCTTGCTTTCTGATTGTTGTTTGGGTGAGGAAGAGTGTTAAAGCACGAAGGGTGATGTCGTGCATGATAATTGTGAGAGAGTGTTAAAGCACGAAAGGTGATGCCGTGCCGCACGATGCACAATTTTGTGCCTTTATATGAGTGATAATGCACGAAGGATCAATCCGTGCCATGATTATGTGAGGTAAAAGCACGAAGGGTGATGCCGTGCCGATTATATTGATTTTTGGTGAGGACGAGAGTAAAAGCACGAAGGGTGATGCCGTGCCGATTTTATTGATTTTTGGTGAGGACGAGAGTAAAAGATTATTTTTCTCTCTGATACCAGTTTTCAGAGACGTATTTTTTGTCCGCCGAAACCAGCCTGTGCGACAGCCAAGTCTCGCACTTGACCTCAGCCTTCATAACACTTAGCCAAAATTATAGCAACTTTGTACTTAGATTATTTTTACGCAAGTTCAACGTAGTAAGTCATTGGACTGATTCTAGGCTATGAATTTTAAGTAAAGGCAACAAAAATATAGAAGAACACAAGGCACAATATATAAGAAACTCTTTTTTCAACTTTGTATTAATTCGAGCATACAAAGAAACACAAACTCGAAGTACAATGCCGTATACAAGAAGATCACTCTTGACCCTCAGATTTTCCCACAATACTACTCCTAGTCTTAGGTGTTTTCACTCTTGAAAATAGACTCCAACATGCACTCTACACGTTTTTTTCTTCTTCCCACAAGCATAAGGGTGCTGCTCATTTATAACACATGAGACAACCCCTTTGCCTTACACTTGTCGCACTTAGGCTTAGACACTTGTCCCACACAGCCCACTATTTTAGCCTAGTGTGGTTGACATACCCGAACTACTAGGAACATGTAAGATCATGACAATAATAATGGAAATATGGCCCAAAAACTTGCTAACACTATCTTCCAGCTTTTTAGCAAAAGCCAACCGCTGCCCATGTGCACAGCATGTGTTGTAACCGCCCTTGACTTGGTCAATCTAAAGCTTGTTGCCCATGTTCGTACCTTGGTTTGAATCAGGCGCCAATGCCTTGTACTCAGCTGCATTGTAGCCACAGTTTGCCTATGCCATCATCCACAAACATGGCCCTTTGTCGCGCCCCAATGCCATGACAAGTCTGTCCCGCGCACTGCCTTCCATTGCACTTTAGCCTGCCTTTGCAACTTCGTTTTTGCCTTGCCTTGGCATTACTGCCTCATGCCTTGATTCCTTTGCCATGATCAAGTGTCACCCACAGCCCCCATCTTGTTGTCAAGCCATTGCCAAGCTGCCTCGCCTCCGTCAAAGCCTTGGCCATCACTTGCCCGTTTCCGTTTTTGTCTTGGTGCTACTCGTGCACCTTAGCTTGGCAACGCTCTTGCTGCCCCATGACAACACTCTCGTTGTCAAGTCAAGCTCAAAGTGGCGGACGTCTAACAGTATGTATAATAGGTTTATTCGAATTCTTCGCCTTTCTAGAACATCTAAAGTATTTTTGGAAGAAATGAACTATACTCTTATTTCTCATGTTGGTGACTATAATTTTTGGGGATGATGATATTTCCATGCATATCAAGTCATTAATTGTAATATCTAAATTCAAGTGCAAGAGTAATTTACTGTCTTTTGAAATTCAGTATGACATAGATGATTATGTATTCCAACTTGGTGCAAAGAGACATGAAATTTATGAGAAGAGGCTTGCGAATGAGTTAAATATTTCTTCTTCTCTTATTCAAGTGTCTAATGAGTTTTCATGCGATAAAATGCTAGAATATGATTTTTGTTGTGTGAGGGAGGTTATATTGCTCTTAAATTAAAAATCCAAATTCGAAATCTTAGTCAAGCGAGAAGAAAAATAGCAAGAATTAGCGGTTTTCTGCGAATTATGGAATTAATTATACTAACGCCATAACATCCATTACGCACGTCGATGGAATGTTTATATTTACCCTTACGCGGAAAAAGTATATAGAATTTTTAAGAATAAATCAAAGATTGATAAGAATTGCAATTACCTTTACAACTAGCACTATATCGTTAAAGCATGTCTCCCTCCTCGCTCGATTGGTTAACCCGAATCCAAGTAATGGTCAGTAAAAGTAACGAAAACGACATAAAGATTGGAGACATTCTCAAATGGTACGTATAGATGTGATACTTAGCGTGTGAGAATATGAACCATATAGTACCTTTCCAAGTCGTGTATGGCATTGAGTCTGAAGCTTGCAATTCAAATGCAAAAGAAGAATTTACCTTTCCATCTGTTTTACTCCTTACCGGTGGCGAAGCTAGGAATATTTTCAAGGGTATTCAAATTTGAAAGAATTGAAAAATGTTCCCGACAAAAGGTGTTCAATATGTATTATATCCCTCTAAAATGTAATATTTTACCTATATATACAGTGCAATTTTTAACGAAGGGTGGTCAACTGACCACCGTTGTGACCATGTGGCTTCGTCACTGCTCCTTACTTGGTTCCATTTTTTTTAACTATTCTACATTTAGTATTTATTGGCTCGATTAATTAATTCGGATCGCACTGAATAGGTCCACTAATTAAAGAACATTACGCGTTCTCTGCTGAATAATTCTTAAATCCTAAAATTTGAATCCTAAACCTCTGATTAAAGATAAAAGGTTCTTTAACTGTCCCACACATCCCTTGGTGGTATTCCTCTATGTGAATGGGTGCGTGTGTGCGTGCGTGTGCGGATAGAAGCTGGCATTTCACTTTAAAAGGTTCGACAATAACCTTGCCGACCCTAGATCCCTGGCTATATATATGTGGTTGCACGCCAATAATAAACTCAAATATTTCAATTTCAGAAGTAACTTCTACATGGATTCAAATTCACACTATGAAGGAAATCATGTCTCCCACGAAATAGAGAATGGGGTACGTTTAGTTTGATCTTCATTTTTCTCTTGATTCTTTACCTCTTTCTTTACTTATTCTTCTTTATATTTTCATATATTCAATTGCTGTGCTTGCAGTTCGAAATTTATCCGTCAGCCCTTAATATTATTTGGGGAAAGGATGCACGATATTGGAAATTACCTCAAGGGTAAGTATATATATTTTATCACTTTGTACATATCTTATGAGAAGATAGAATAGATTAGTTCGTAATTGAACAATTTGAAGAGTGAATATTTTTGGAGATAGAGTAATTCAGCTTCTAAAAGTACATGACCAAATAAAAAAAGCTTCTAAAAGTACCCATTCCCCTCCCCCCTAAAATAAATAAATAAAATCTAAAATTACGTCCAAGGGTATAGTCTAGTAGTAAATAAACCTATAACTTCAAACAAAAGTAAAACCACATTTGCCATTATACTAAAAGCTTATCTTAAATTAGAGAGATTAAATATTTACAGATACAAGCACACACATATAAATTTGTTTATACACTATTTGCACATGTGGTTTTACATGTGGCTCGGCGATTGCCTATGTTGGTGGAGGTAGTAGGTACTTGATAAAATAGTTAAGGTATGTGCAACTTAATTGGGACGCCATCGTTATAAGAAAATTTAAGTGGTATATCGAATGATATGATTTTGCATCATCTAATGTTGGATTTGATGAACAGGAAAGAACCAGGAGAAGCAGCAGAACTTGTACAAGTAAGTTGGCTAGAGGTAACAGGATATTGTGACAAAGTAGAGGCAAACGTAACATATGATGTTAAGTTCCAGCTGAAATTGACACCAGATGCATTTGGCTGGAATGATATACCCATCTACTTTATGGTCAAATCTGGAAGCGGAAGCTTATGGAAGAAACTGAATTTGACAAAAGATGCCCCTACCAATTCTGATGGAACATATGTCGTACCCAACAATCTTACTGTTACAGTGGGAAAAGGTGGCAATGACGAGAACAAGCTTTATTTTGGGCTCTATGAAGTCTGGAGTGGAAAGTGGAAAGGAGGATTAGTAATCCAAAAAGTAATAATTACCAAGAGTGTGGAGGATTAATTAATATACGTACATTCTTTCTGCATGCAGCTTGTGGGAGTACTAAATATAATACGTGATGGATCTTAATAAAAGAATGCTTCATAGAAGTTTTCTGTCATAATCTTTAGTATGTTTCCTTGTAATAGTAAGTTATTATGAAAATAAATGTTTGCTTATATTTTTTCGTTTCACCATTTTGGCTTGTATTTTAATTTTCGGCTCAGTTATTTTGTACAAATCTGATTTGTGATGGGATTTACACATTTGACGTTTGAAATGTGGAACCCATTTAGATCATCAGAATGTGTTTTAGAATAATAGGGATTCATCTTGATAGAGTTTCAGAAATTACCAACTTGGTTTTTCTATAAGTTAGAAATATATAGGGGATGCAAACATGATAAATCTAGCGGGACATTTTTGAACTGTACTATTCAATGGCAAAAGAATCTTTAAAAAAAAAACAAAATTTACGACTTTTGGTCGTTCCAAAATTCATCTCTGAACGACCACTAATAGTGCCATATTGCCATACAGCTACCAAATTAATAACGTTTTCCTTTTGACACTATCAATATAATTGCAAGTCAATTGCAGGATTACAATCCGACAATGTTGGGAACATTGTGGCTCGTATATTTATGGGATTTTTACATACGTATACACAATTTCAAACTTTATTATCCTCCCTACTTAATTTTAAATCTAATTACATAATATATACAAAATTACCAATTGTGCACATTTTTAGGCATTTAATGATAATAATTAAATCCTAAAATCACTCTAACGTCTATATCCCACTACCCCCCCCCCCCCCTCACGTATCTTCAGTATCTTCCTCTATTAACGTCTGTTTCACTCTTCTTCAAAAATCCCTCTACATTTTTTCACTCTTCTTCAAAAATCCCTATCCGTATTTATAGATTCAAGCTCTAAATACTATACCACACATCTCCATTAAAAGGTGCTCCAATAATCTGTCCACACAAATTTTCTGTAAATTCCTGAAGTTAGCTTCAAAAACTAATGGCATATGAAGAACCTTTTGATAAACAGGAAAATAGATTTAAGAACTTGAAATTATTAGCAGGCATTTAATAAGTGGGAGTCCACGGCCCCAATTAATACAGTTATTTACTTTATTGATTACTGAATAATCTGCAGAATTGAGTGGTGGAGCAGTTCTTATTATTAAGTCTCATTGTACCCAACGACTCAGAGCAGGAGGGATCCCCACCCAACTAAAGCAACTGAATAAGCATTTGATGCCAGGGAGAAAAGAAATATAATAGTCCTTCCCATTTTATATGATTGTGTTTGACCTAACACGGAATCTACCAAAGCCATTAAAAAGATTTGAAGCTTGTTCGAATTTGAGTTTTCAAAAACAATTATTTGTTTGGATTGGGTGTTGTTGCAAACAATTGGGAATATTGCTCGGAGCTTATATCTCAAATTTGAGAATGTTTTGGTGAAGATTAGACTTGATTTTGGCTGAATTTTAGATTGAACTCGAAGAAGAAGAAGAAGAAGAAGAAGAAGAAGAAGAAGAAGAAGAAGAAGAACAAGAAGAAGAAGAAGAAGAAGAAGAAGAAGAAGAAGAAGAAGAAGANAATATCATACAACTTATCTACAACTTTCATATATTATTTCTACCCAGTTGTATGATATTGTAGTTGTATATAACTGGGTAGAAATAATATATGAAAGTTGTAGATAAATTATACATAAGTTGTAGATAATTTTATAATATATAATTGATTATATGAAATTTATTTTTACTATGTATAAATCAGATACAAAATATACAAAAGACATATTGTATAAAGTTTTATATAAAAATTGTGGTTAAGTGATATGATATTGTAGTTGTATATTAACGGGGTAGAAATAACGTATGAAAGTTGTAGATAAGTTATAGATAAGTTGTATAACATATAATTAGTTGTATGAAATTTGTTTTTACTATGTATAAATCAGATACAAAATATACAAAAGACATATTGTATAAAAATTATATTTAAGTTGTGTGATATCATAGTATATTTAACTGGGTAGAAATAATATATGAAAGTTGTAGATAAGTTATAAATTAAAATTTTCCAAGGAAGCTAGCTACCAAAATTCTCTGTATCTTCTATATTAATCTCTTGCGCAATGTCTATGTCGATCTTCAACTTAAAGTTTCTTTTAAAAAGCTAAAAAAAATAGAAAAAGCCTACTATAATATATTATTACTGTTTATATTTGTGTTTTTAAATACATAACAGGAGAATGATGAACATTTTGATTAATCACATTTATATTAGGTTTGGCTTTGTTAATTATGTGATCTCTTGATCATCAAGCAGCTATTTTTATGAAATTTTAACTGTTGCAACTATATTTTTTTGGAAACAAAAATAAACAGAAATAATCAGTATTGAACCTGCCAGAAAAGAAAAGCACGTTTATTCGTCCCCCATTTTTTTTCTCGTTTTGGCAACAAATAGTTCTATTAATCTATTTTAACAACGGAAAAGGGCAAAAAAATGACCCTGAACTATTAGAAATAGATCAATAATGCCCTCCATTTACCTTTTGGCGCAAAAAAGCCCTTACCGTTAATCAATGGGAGCAAAAATGCCCTTCCCAACTAACGGAACATTCTCTCCAGGTTTGCAGTTTCTGTTATACAATATTTGATTGTGAAATTATTCATGAGATACTTAATTATTTTTCAATTTTGAATTTCCGAAATGGTTATGTTCTCTGCGTGTGTATCTATATTTTGTCGAAGAAAAGAGTATTCTCTCGGGTGAGCGAATTGAGGCAATGTCGGCAACGATGATGAGGAAAGAGGCGGCGAGTGTGATCGGAATTGAATCTCAGTCACTTGTGGTGGTGGCGGCGGCGACGGGGAAGATACAAAATGAAGTGCAATTCACGAAGTGCGAGTGCTGCGGATTGACGAAGGAGTGTACGGAGGCGTACATAGCGAGAGTGCGGGAAAGAAATCAAGGGTGGTGGATATGCGGACTGTGCACGGAGGCGGTGAAGGACAAGATGGTGAGATCGTCGTCGTCGAGAAGGATCAGTAGAGAAGAAGCTTTAAATCGGCATATGACATTCTTTAAGAAGTTCAGAGCAAAAAGTCTGCCAAAAAATCCGACGGATGAAACCAAAATTTTAGATAATTAATCTAATATTTGAATAAGAAACAAAAAAAATATGCAGCAATTTATTTAGTGGAGCTTCAAAGCTTTTAGTGGATTCAATGGCAGTCACTAGCAATGATTTATTTTTTGGAAAATGATGTGCCTGATAAAAGAATGAAGTCTGTCCACGCTGGAGTTCCATATCAGCAATATTAGTAATATTTTTAATTTTGTTTTCATGTGAGGTGGTACTCCGTTAGTTGGGAAGGGCATTTTTGCTCCAATTGATTAGCGGTAAGGGCTTCTTTAGGCCAAAAGGTAAACGGAGGGCATTACTGATCTATTTCTAATAGTTCAAGGGCATTTTTGACCCTTTTCCGTTTTAACAATTATGAAAGTTCAATAAATCACCACGAATGAGCAAAAAACTGAAGTGGAAAGAGATATAAACGGTCGAGATCATCCCATCAAGTACTGATCCTTTTCCTAACCTGAAAGGGAACAAAAATTACTAACTCCTACTTCCAGTCATTATAGGAAACCTTGTCATATAACTATATTTCACTTCGCCATATAGCGCATAAGAATGAAAAAGAGTACGAGAAAGGAGATAAAAAGAAGAGGACAACCCTCCATGTTTAATTAGGATTAGGGTCAGCGAAATTCATTACTTCTACTGTTTGGAGAGAAGAGAGGAGAGAGGAGAGAAAAAAGGAAAAGGGTGTAATTAAATCCCTTGATTGAAGGCACAAATAATAAATTGGGAGGCATTTAAGGTGGATTGTATATATCTTGTAACTAAAATGTGTTTAGGTTGGGTAAATCCAAAACATGAATGTTTTTCGTAATAAGGTTTCAAATAGTGTATAAGTATGTAAATATCCCTATATTTATTCATTAAAAATGAGAGTAATAGCCTAAATGAATCCAAGAATCTAATCCTCCAAATTCCTATATATGAAACTTCTAGTACCCAGTTTACTTCTCAACTTTCTTCCCTTGTTTCTTTGAATAAATAAAGAACCTGAAATGATTAGGAACCTAATGAGAAAGTGGACATTTAAGGGGTCCTGATTAAATTCGAATACCAATTATTAAGTTAATAAGAAAACACAAGGGAAATAATGTGCAGTTAAACCATCAAATGAGATGCCACACTTGAAATCAAAGAATGCTCGTATTAAGAATAAATGCTATATATAATTAAATATTCTATCTTTCTAGAAAGTTTTTGTCACGACCCGAAGTTTCAACTACGGACCTGTGATGGCGCCTAACGTCCACTTGCTAGGCAAGTCAATATTAGCTTCACAGATTTGCACTTTAGCTATTTTAAAAGCAAGTAAATAAGAAGGTAAACCTGTAAAACTTCAAAATATATGATAATCTCCAAATACGCGGTCTAGTCTAATCCGGGAATCAGGTATCACAAGTACTTGAGATGCTAAATAAAATACTCCAACCAAGGTCTAAAATAAAAATACAACTGTCTAAATGAAATAACAATACAAAAGATAAGAAAGGGACTTCAGGGCATGCGAAACTCGTGCAGCTCTACCTCATGTCTCAGGGCAAATGACGATGCGAGCAAGCCTCCGCTAAACATCGCTGGAACAAACACCAGAATCTGCACAAGAAGTGCAGAAGTGGCCTCCACTCTAATGGCCTGATCACTAGCTCAAGATGCCTGACTGATAAGTGTAGATTTTGACCACTTATTATCACCTTTTTGCTTTTATTTTAGTCTGAAAGTATTGAATGTTCCCAAAACTAATGAAAGTGTGGAAATTGCAGGAATGTTAGAAGTTTGGGCTCCCATGATGAAATCCGACTCAAAAAGGAATGTTTCGACTCACAAGGAAAGAAGGGGCGTAGGACATAAGAAGTGCGGTCAACAGAAGGATTTTTGCGACCGTAGAAGAAAGTGCGGACCGCAAAATTCTCTCTGCGGCCGCAGAACAAGTGAAGAAGCCGAGTAGAGGTTTAGATGAAGCATGAATTGTGTGGCCGGAGAACAAGGTCTGCACTGATTAATAATTCAAAGTTCAGAGAGTGTGCAAATGACCAAAACCTGAAGCCTTGCTTGAAGTGCGGACCACACAAGAATTGTGCGGCCGCAGACCAAAATTGTGCGGCAACAGAATCAAACTCCGTGCAAGGTGAAGCAATCTGCGGACCGCACATAGAATTGTTCAGCCGCAGAACCTCCCGAGGGGCATTTCTCTCAGCCAATTTTGGGCCACTATAAATAGACGAGAATCACATTTTTAGGTCAAGTTTCGAAGTTTGACCTTCTGTAACCGTTGTATTTTTCTATTTAGGATGTTTGCGACTATTTTAGGATTTAAACATCATATTTTATCATTTAATCTTAGATTATGAGCTTAATTAGTATTATTCTTTGTTTCATTTATTTTTCACTATGAGTAGATAGATTCTTACTAGAGTTATGACCCAACCCTAGTATGTAAACCTTATGTGTATTTAATTTAATGCTTTTTTATGAGTGACTGTTGATTATTTAGCCTAGTTTATGCTTTAATTTTAGAATTAATAATTGCAAACATTGATTCATGCCTATTTGACTTGGTTCTTACTTAGGAAAGAGGTACATAGTCTAGTAAAATGTTACGCCTCGCAATATTACATCGATATTACGTTCCGCAGTATTATATTAGAATGATGTTACGCCTTGCAGTATTATATTACGATGATGTTACGCCTTGCAGTATTACATTACGATGATGTTACGCTTCGTAGTATTAAATTACGACTATGTTGCACCCTGTAGTATAGTACATTGAATTTGTCGTAAGGTAATTGACATCAGTCCAAGAAAAATATTATTTGGAAATTATAAGGATTATGCTATTTCAAACAAGTGATGAGTAAATTCGTGAAGGTGAGAGGGGAAGCAAGTCAAAGAAAATGAATTTTCGTCCAAGTTTGGCATGTTGGGATAAAATACGGGCCGAGCTAAAATACTCGGTATTTATGGACTAGTGCCACACAAGGTATCACATGACCATGATAGTAAGGTGTATAAGGCGTGTTAAAAGTGAGTAGTATTTTAAGTAATTTGAGATAATTCTTAATTATATGGATAATTGGATAATTATTGGTTTAGGGGATTAATAATTAACTAAGATGTTGGTGGATGATTGGTTGAGGATGGATAAGCTAAAAGGTGGCAGCCATAGAGGTCTTGAATAAATGACTCATTAGTCACATGCCAAGGTAGCTTATTTATGTAAATCATGGGACTTAGTCATCAAAGATGTGGGGCCCACACCCACTTAGTAAAGACATTTCAAAGACTATGAAAGGGATGTTTGAATCAAGAACTCAAGGTTACTGCTGGAGAAGCTCACAACTTTGAGAAATTTCATAAGACTTCTCCAATTCAAAGTAATGTGAGGAATTTCATAAGACTTCTCCAATTCACACAATGATTCCAACGTTAGCAACATGAATCCAACGAGATTCCAACGAAATTTCTTAGCACCTTAGCAACATGAGATTTTGCAATTTTAAGGAAGTACAGTGCAATATTTCTCAAGAATATCATACGGATTTCTCCAACTTCGATCCGCCGTTATGTATTTTCGCAAAAGAGAGTCGGTTCAGGTATGTTAAGGTTATCCCTTCTTTCTTTTGGGATGACCCATACGACACAAACGAAACGTGCAAATGCACAATTTCCATACATGACTTCATAGAAATATTTGAGATGCTTATGTTCTTGATTCCCCGTGTGTCATATTGTACTATCATCTGTTCAGGGGTCTCAGAAAAATATGTAAGTTGAAAAAGTTTATTTCATGATATTATTCAAAGGAATAATGGTCTTATGACACTCCAAGAGATTTTATTGACGTACTTGCCATGCATTGCATTCATATACATTGATCCATGACCAGATAGCGTTATATACACGTATATATGTATCTATCTATCTATATGTATATGGGATATGGGAAAAGGTTACGGCGTTATATACGCACCACCACCTAATTAACTGGTATACGCTGATGATTTACCCACAGTGGCCGAGATGATATGATGGGATGCCCTAAGAGGCTTGATGATGTTATGAACACATGTACCTATGCACGACATGACATTCATACGCATATGCATGACACTATAAGTATTTCATGATTTACAGAGTTATCCATACTTACAGGTTGAGTTATTTGCTCTATTCTTCTTCCATGACTGTTATGTACTTATTTATGTGCCTTACATACTCGGTACATTATTCGTAGTGACGTCCCTTTTTGCCCGGGGACGCTGCATTTCATGCCCGCAGGTCCCGATAGACAGGTCAAGAGCCCTCCAAGTAGGCTATCAGCTCAGTAGAAGATGTTGGTGTGCTCCATTTGTTTCGGAGTTTCTTGATTGGTTAGTATGATTTAGACGTGTATTGTTTGGTATCGCGGGACTCTGTCCCGACCTTTATGAAAAATTACGTATTCTTAGAGGCTTGTAGACAGATGTCATGTACGTAAAAGATTGTATGGCCTTGTCGGCCTATCTTCAGTATACGAGTGGTTATTTTGGTCTTATAGACCCGTATGTCTTATGTATAAGTTGGTATCACATGTTTTATTCTACTTATCTCACGGTAGCCTTCCGGCTCAGTTATCTATGATAATGACATGAAAAGACATGTTATGTTGGTACTCGATTGAGTAAGGTATCGGGTGCCCGTCGCGGCCCATCGTTTTGGGTCGTGACAAAAGTGGTATCAGAGCAGTTCTGTCCTAGGGAGTCTACAAGCCGTGTCTAGTAGAGTCTTGTTTATGGGTGTGTCGTGCACCACACTTATAAGCAGGAGGCTACAGGGCATTTAGGACTGTCACTCTTTCTTCTTACTCTAGATCGTGTGGTAGAGCTCAGTTGTAAGAACACAATTTCCTAAACTCGACCTTATCCATAATACTGCGATGGCTACATTTATAAAGATGGTTCGTAAAAGAAGAATGCTATAAAAATGAGAAAGGGATGAGATTGCACTTATCCAAATGTTACAGATATGCT